ATGCTCTTCAAACTTATCAAGAACTCCTTCCCTCTAGCCAATACACTTTCATGTGGAGAAAGGAGTCAACCCCTTCTGGGCCACATTTCTTCGTTAATAATTCTGTATTCGATGATGATGGTCAGCAACCTTCTAGCATGGTAGATTATAAATAGTGAAATGGTAAAATTTTTTCTTTCCTAACCATAGACACATCTAAGAATGAAAGAGGGTGCTAAAAATACCTGGCACATGTTATTTGATCTACCATAAATCAAGACTGTTATGGGCAAGTCAGAGTGGACGGTGACCCTAATTATAAAGATCAAAGCCTTGAAAGGCAGTCAGTCCTGGACATGAATCCTAGCTTTATTATTCTCTAGTATGATCTTGAATAAGTTAGTTAACATTTCTGGACCTCAGTTCCTGCATCTGACAAATAGGACAATAATTTCTTCTTTGCTAGATTAATGTAAGAATTAAGTGAGATTGCGTAAATGAAATTGCCAAGAGTAGTTAGTATTTGATACTTAGTAATTTCTAAGTTGTGGGAGAAATAATGTGGCAGTCTGCTCCTGTAAAGATAGCCTTGGAAACCCAATGGGGCAGTTCTATTCTGTCCTATAAGGTTCCTATGAGTAGGAATCACCTCGATGGCAGTGGGTTAAATATTAAGTTTAGGTTGTTGAATGGATAGATTAATGAGTAATGTTCTCAGGGAACTTTGTGGTTTATCGTTTTGTTTGCCCCAAAATCAGAGCCCTCTGCTCTTCTGGTTCTTCCTTCTTACCATTCTAGTCCTATATCCAAATCAGTTTTCTATTGTCATTGGGTCTGATGCTTACTCCTTTGATTTCTAATTCTCATATCGGCTTCCATTTTTGTGGTCTGTCACCTTTTCCCTCTTCTCTCCGTGTTTCAAACCTAGAGTAACCTCTATCTCTAATCTGAGCATGGTGTCTTGTTTCTACGCTGTCAGCACCATCCACGTTCTACACAGTGAGTGCGTAGAATTTCATTTGGTGAAACGATTTGCCTACTGATTAAACTTTAATTTTAGAAATCCCGTTTTCTTAATTCCCAACACTTTTCTATATGGTTTGACTAGCCTTATTTTGACACTCTATTCTTATTGTATATGTGTAATTCTTTCTCTTATCTTCCCGCGGGTATTAATAATAGATGTTTTTAAGGTTTCCTCTTCCTGTATTTTTCTGTTCCTTTTGTGTTTGGGTTCATTCTAGAAATGGCTCACTAAATTGTGAGTCACTAGCACAGAGCAGCTAATAAAGATTCAGTGAACTGTGTTGAACTGAATTGAATTAGAAAAGGACCCCATTGTTATAATATCACTGTAGAAAAATGTGGATTTCAAGATATTCTGGGTCCTCTAGTTAATTATAACATATTTATCTCCAGTCCCTTCCATTTCTCCTCTGTTGTTGTTGTGCGTTAGGAAGTCAATTCTGACGCATAGTGATCTCATGTGACAGAGTAGAACTACCCCATAGGGTTTCCTAGGCTGTCATCTTTACAGAAGCAGACTGCCACATCTTTCTCCCACGGAGCTGCTGGATGGGTCAAATCACCCACCTTTCGGTTAACAACCAAGCACTTAACCACTATCCCACCAGGGCTCCTACTTCTCCTCTGCTACAATATAATTACAGTAGAATAATTGAAAGAAGAGAAATTAAACATGCACACACACACACAAACCAATACATATATACATTGTAGCTAGAACATTGCAGGCATCGACATATGTGTCTGTAGAGGAAATGGCTATAAGAAACGCACCAGATTACCCCCTAAACTCAGGAAGATTCAGAAATTGAAACTATTATATCATACAGAAGGCAGATACGAGACTGAAGGAGGCAATAGTCTAAAAACAGATCTGCCACTCCTTCCTGCACAGCCAGGCAATGCCCCCTCCCCAATTCCTTCAGAAGGCAGAAGATTTCTTTCTGAAGGATCTGGACCACAAGCTCTGTGCACTCAGGTACAGCAGGGAGGAGGAGAGAAGCATGCCACTGAAAATAGGGCAAGTAAGTGCAAGGCTGCCTAGTGAACGACGAGAACCACATGTCCCAGATGCCGGCAGCTAGGCACATAACACATGGGCAGGAGAGTGGAGGTTCTTCTCTGAGGAAGCAAAATGGCCCCAGAGAAAAGACCAAAGATGCTGACATTTATGGATTTTCTAATGAATAATCTAATTTACCTCCCTATCACCATATACGGAAACCTTCCATTTGACCAGTCCCCTCCTTAATTGCAGAAATCCCAATCAGCTATTTTGTGCCTCATTCAAATGTAAATGGACAAAACCAAACAAAGAAAACACAGGAAGAAGAAAACTTAAAAACATCTATAATTAATCATTGCAGAGATAGAAGAGAAAGAATTACACATATGAAATAAGAATAGAATGCCAAAAAAAAAACTAGTCAGACGATAAAGGAGAATTTTGGGAATTAAGAAAATGGAGTTTCTAAAATGAAAATTTCTAAATAGAAAGACTAAAAGGTAAAGTCTTAGAAAAATGGGTTAAAAGACAAAGAGATGGACAACTGGAAGGAAAAATAATAAGAAAATAGCAGTTAAATCCAGAAGTTCCAACTTGCCAGTAATAGACTTCCCAGAAAGAGAGAACGGTAAAAATTAAGAAGTGGGAATTATCAAACAAATAATCTAAGAAAGCTTTCCAGAACATAAAGAGCTATGTTTTCAGACTGAGATCTTTCCTAGTAGCCAGAACAATAAAGAAAGACAGGTTTC